CCGTCTCTTATTCTCAATGCATGGTATAGTTCTCTCTTAGCCTGAAAAAGTTGATTGAGCTTGCCACCAGATGGTGGTAGGTGCTAAATACAACAGGAGTAGTTGCCAAACGTGTTGCTGTGTAGCTAACAGGTTAATTACAGAGATTGATCATGATAAATTTACTAACATATTATCAAGAGCGTATAAAGAAGGAGAGCGTACAACGGTGAAATGCTGAACCATGTTGGCAGTATTAGTCGAATTAATAAACTTTCCCCGTTTATTTTGATGATTCTTTGCGGTATATTGATCAGCTATTCTACCTGGTTATAATAAAAACAAACCTCATGTCCCTACGATGCCTCTACGCTGAGATAATGAGCGGTGAAATTCTGGTATTTTCGCCGAAAACGCGACTTGAGATCAGTGTAATACTGCGACTGTCTCTCGTTTTGTGGACTGTATGTTGGCTTCCGGTCGGCGGCTCGTGTAGCGCTGACTCGATACGTTATTACTACAGCGTTACTACAATCCAGCGAAGGGGGCGGGTCATCAACCATGGCGATAAATAACAAGACGTTTTGTGGAGTAATGGCTGCACCAATGACTGGAAATGCGAGAAAAGATAGTAGAAGGAAAAGAAAAATTTCAATTGTGACGGAACACGGCGAGGTTTCCCGAAGCTATCGCCAGAAACGAGAAGACAGTCGCAGCCACTACGTATCTCGAGTCGGTTTTCGGCGAAAATACCAGATTTTCACCGGCTGCATTATCTCAGCGTAGAGGCATCATAGGGACACAGCGTTGTTTTGATTTATTATCAAGGGTAGGACCAGCTGATCAATAATACCACAAAGAATCGTCCCAAATAAAAGCGGCAAAGTTTATTAATTCGACTAATACTGCAGCATGGTTTCAGCAGTTCACCGTTTGTACACTCTGCCTTCTTAATACGCTCTTGATATTATCATAAAGTGTGATGAAGCTGTCTGCATAAGGCCTTACAAATTTTTTTGTATACCCACTTGATTTTTCCCCTGATTTAAGTCCGGTATACCGGACCGTACCCAGGGTACGTTCCGGCAGTACCCTGGGGGACATAGACCCTATGAGCGCCACTACAGTACTAACTGCAAACTACTATAATTAAGCAACGGCAATTAAACTAGATGACATGCATTACTGACTTGTGGAACAATCTCCTAGATCACATTGTAAATGCATTATCAATAAATTATTTTGAGGCCTGACTAGACAAAACCTGTTACTAGATCTTGTATAAAACAGACACCTGGTCTTAGCTAGAGAATAGATATAATAGCAACATGAGATTAAAACAAGACCAGATGACAGCTGAACAAAATAAAAAAAGTTAAGATAAGATGCAGATGTAGAAAGACCTGAAACCGGTTTCAACAAGTTGATTACATAAATTGAACAAGAAATTTAATCGTATAACTTACGAGAATGTCGGTCGAGAATTCATACGTCTTCTTTAGGAAGTCGTCGACAATGAATCGGCATTCGTCGTCAGTGTAGGTGGCGCTAGCTGTACACTCATCGAAGAGGAACCGTAGCACATGCTCCTACACCAAGCATTTACACAACACATTACGCCATGTACATTGCCAACTATGCTATACACGCTGCCGTGCATACTTACTGCTTGTGTACTTTTAACGAAAGCACACAATTGCATATATATTATATTATATTATTAAATATTATTATATAACATTAAATCCAACAATCTAGAGCCAGCTCATATGCAGAGCACACTACGGTGAAATTTCACCGAATTTATTTCGGATTGCAATATTTATTCTTGGCGGGCACCTGTTAACTCGACCCAGCCGTCTATTCGACTCGCATTGTGGTGAGTTTACCCGCCTGGAGGTTGGCCGGCTCGGCTCGTGGGTCGAGAAGACCCGGATCTAGACTGACAATCTGAGCTGGCCCCGACCTCCAGGCAGGTAAACTTGATGCACGAGTCGAGTTTTCCAGCGAGGCGAGTTGAATACGCACCTTACTGACGAGATATCTCAGGGTGGAAATACTTACAAGTAAACTACCGCCATACAGTGCACACTTTGATCACTTAGACAGGGACTCGAGAACATACATCCAACTGCATACATGCAAATCGGCTTTTTTAGTTTCGAAACATCGCGTTTTCACGGCTCACTTTTGTAGAGTTCTGTGCGATAATGTCGTGGAGCGTATCAGCACTCTCCGCGCAGACCCTACACTCTTCACTTTTCACGTGCTGCTCCATTTCAACGACCTGCATGCTGCTAGCTGAAATCACATTTGAATATGTTATGTTATGTGTTATGTTCTCGTACTTGTAGGTGTCCACTGCACTAGATATAGTGACAAGGTAGTAAGTGCCTTCAGGGATAAACCCAATAAACAGACAGGTGCATAATGATGTGAGTACAATGCTACTAGGTGTCTTCTTCAAGTGGGTTTGCTTGCATGTGGAAGTGAAGCCTTGACTTGAAAGTGACAACGTCAGTTGTCTCAGTATACACACAGTAACGTAATATTATATTACAGAGAAATTCGAGTCCCTAATCTTTACTAGATAGTTGTAGTACAAGTACTCTTATCTTAATTAGTTAGTTAGTAAGTTTTAGGAGCTGTTATTTGCCGATGATCTTGCAATAGTGGCGGAAACTGAAGAGTAGCTACAGGAGAGAGAGCTGCAGTGGCAGGAAGGTTTACAGGGCTGAGGGCTGAGAGTAAATGCACGTAAATCAGTAGCCCGACCAGGCTGTGCGACGGATTGTTTATGCTATTCTAACCCTAGCAATACCGTTTCTTGGAGCTAGTAAATCAGATGATAACCAGTAAGAATGGAGGGGAACGGATACAGATAGTCGACGGTGCTGGAGTAGAGATGAGGCAGGTGAACAAATTAAAGTACTTGAGAGCGACGATGGCGGACACAGGAGGATGCGAATTTGAAATCGCGAATGGCAGCATGGAGAAAATGGAGAGGTTTCAGGGGTGGTGTGTGAACCAAGGATGCTCAGCAAAATTAAAGTAATGTAAGTTTGTCTATTTAAAATACAGAACAACACTGCGGATCGCAGTAGAAAAAGCCTCAAATTTGAATTAACTAAAGTCAAGAGGAAGGGAGATAATTCCAATACGGATTACCATATGATAAAACTTATCGGGTTGCATCTAACTGCGTGTAACTGGGGAAGCGACAGCGACTCACCTAACATTAAGATAGCTGCGAACACAGCCACCGGACCCATTCGCCGCATTTCGATTTTTGACAACAATCTCCGGAATATCAAAATGGAGAAAGATAGCCAACACAACAACACCAGTTGATTAAAAAATACTGCGGCGAAATTACAAATTTTTAAACTAGATATCTAGCTGTATAATCTAAATCATTAGATTGAAGCACATTTAGCAACAGATTCCAAGTGTAATTTCAAAAGAAGATAGCTAACAGTTAACTTCAGAATATGCACTGGGCGCCGCCATCACACCACTGATACTGTTGTGACCACTAGCGCGACGCATGTTGAACGTCGGCCGAGCGAACTAAAACAATCGGCTGCTAGGTAGAGTCTCTATATACATATCTGTATATAGGGACTCTACTGCTAGGTGGCCTTGTTTCAGGCGTGCAGTATACGGACTGAAGAAGACATAATATATAGCTTGCTGAGGGAGAGAGGGATGGGAGACTGAGGAAAGGCGGCAGGGAAGATAGCTGGAAGCGGTAGAAGAAAAGGGAGGCTGAGGGTGGGACAAGGGAGGCGAGGGAAAAGACGGGAGGGGATGAAGTAGGAGTTTTGCACACTACAGGCTAGGGCGCTCTCCTAATTATACACATACTAGATCTACTGAAATGAATTTATTACAGAAACCAATGCTGTGATACCCCCTGACCATATTAAATGCATATTCATCACAAAATATAACTCCTCTGGTGAGATATTGCGCATGCGCTAACACACTAACGTAGCCAGATTGTGTACTGGCTGGTATATGCAGCGGGGCGCTTACAGGCAATGTCTTCCTCCAATTTCCTAAGTGAAGTCTACTGATCAAATGTCATCATATAAATCTATGCTAGGATAAGCACTCTTCATTTTAAATGCATAATCTTTGCAAAATATTTTTCTTCTCTGGAGATATTTCGCATGTGCGAGCACAGTTTCATGCGTGCAGTACCGACTGAAGAAAACTTTATAATATAGCTTACGGAGGTAGAGAGGGAGTACTAGTGTAATACTGAGGAAAGGCGGCAGGAAAGATAGCTGGGGGCGTAGAAGAGGACAGAGGCCTGACGAGGCGAGACAGGGGAGGCAAGGGAAGAATGCGAGGGCATAAAGTAAGTGTTTTGTACCCTACATGCTAGGGCGCTCACCTAATTATAAACACAGGTCTACTGATAAAAGTTTACTATGGAAATCTTATGCTGAGATACCCCCTAACGATTTTAAAATGCATATTTATCACCAAATATAACTTCTCTGGTAAGATATTGGCGCGTGTGCTAACACACTAACGTAGCCAGATTTGTGTACTGGCTGGTATACGCAGGGGCGGGATCTTACATGCATGGTCTTCCTCATATTTCTTAAATGATATCTACTGATGGAATGTTATCATAGAAATCTATGATAGGATAACTCTTCTTCATTTTAATGCATAATCTTTGCAAAATACGATTTTCTCTCGGAGATATTGCGCATGCGCGCGCAGCCGTGTAGTTTGCAATGCCGTCTGAGGCGAACTTCATAATATAGCTTGCCTGAGCGGGAGAGGGGTGGGAAGACTGAGGAAATGCGGCAGGGAAGATAGCTGGGGGGTAGAAGTAGAAGGAGGCTGAGGCGAGGAACAGAGGGGTAAGAGGAAAGGACGCGAGGGCATAAAGTAGGTGTTTTGTACCTACATCGCTAGGGCGCTCTCCTAATTATAAACGACAGGTCTACTGATAAAAGTTTATTAGGAAATCTATGCGAAGATACCCCCTAACCATTTAAAATGCATATTCATCACAAAATACAACTCCTGCTGTGAGATATTGCGCATGCGCTAACACACTAACGTAGCCAGAATTGTGTACTGGCTGGTATACGCAGCGGTGACCTTACATGCAAGATCTTCCTCCTATTTTTTGCCACGATTCCGCGCTATGCTAATGTATGGGCAAAATGGCGCTGCAACGTTGGTCGCCGTTGACTGCCAGATAATATTTCTTCGGCCGTTTCTTATGTGTTCAAAATGGAGCAGGGCAGGCTGACAGCACGTGGGCAAGGTAAAATCTGATATACATGCTTCACTTCGCTCGCAGCATCGCGCACGATTCCCAGCTATGCTAATGTATGCTATCGATTATAATATCATTAATAATACATTTTACGGTTATACATAACATACAATGTGCGCTTTTTAATTATTTCTACCGATAGATGGCGCGATGATATCATATTTGATCATAGGCGCGGCCTTGGTCGCGGCTACATTATTGATGATTGAAATACATACATCGAAGTGTAGGATGGGAATTTCACGTTCAAACCTTTATCAACCTTATCCAGTAAATATTGTTCTGTATAAGTACTGTAATTATATTAATTCCACTCAACATTAAATACGTTTTAAAGTATTATAATACATTTTGATAATGCGTTTTACGGTTACACACAAAATACAATGTTTGCGTATAAATTATTTCTCCCGATAGATGGCGCGAAGATGTCATATTTGATCAAAGTCGCTGCTACATCATACGATCATAAAAAAAAGTTTCAAAATGTTTGCTGTGATTGGATCGTTTTGGAGAATTTTATAATTGTCAATTAACAATAATTGATGTGTAGGATTGAAGGGTGATAAGTTAGAACCAATCGACATATCTGTTTGAATATTTATTCGGATTCTTTATTTCTTTATTTATTCGGATTTTTTTTTCTTTATATCAAGAGCGTATAAAGAAGGTATGAAGAAGTACCTTCTTAATACGCTCTTGATTTATATATATATATATATATTATAATGTATGTATGTATGTATTATATATATATATATTATATATATACCCGCGTGTAGATAAAAACAAAGTCAAGGTATAGAATAAGGGTGTTTAAAGTTTAATTGACGAGCTTTCGAGATTACATCTTTTCATCAGGTCAGCAGACATTGGAATAGAATCAAATAATCAAAAACAAATACAATGCGTTATAGATAATCAAAATAAATGATTTACACAATTCGCGGGTTGCCATGATTACGGACAGCAAAAGACACGCCACAAAACACACACACACACACAGACACACACACACACACACATACATACACAACAACACACACACACACACACACACACACACACACACACACACACACACACACACACACACCACACACACACAACACACACAAACACACACACACACACACAGCACACACACACACACACACACCACACACACACACACAGCACACACACAAACACACACACACACACACAACACACACCACACACACACACACACACAACACACACACCCACACAACGAAGCAATGGACTTCGAAAATCACACGCAATTAAAGTTTACGTTCATGCCCTTAATTTTCTGCTCAGTCATGTGTCGACGTGAGCTATTGTAAATATGGTGTCAGTTGGCAGCCACACACACGCACGTCATCAATGTGGTGATCCGGTTGGTTAAAATGGTCAGCAACCGGAAACCAATGGAAATTGAGGCGAATAGATCTTAGGTGTTCAACAAACCTATCCGGCAAGGCGGCGTTTTGTTTCGCCAATATAGTAAATTTGGCATTTAACGGCATTCAATTGCGTAAATGAGGTTCGTCGACACGCATGTAAATGAATCCCAGAATCCCGCACTATAATTTGCCCGAGACCCTTGAACCACAAACCTATTCGTAATAAAATTGCAAGTACTGGCAACGTTTCCGACAACACGGGTATGAGCAGGTTGGCTCACGGGGTTGTCAGAGTTGTAAACGGTGCATGAAACAAGAGTGTCGCGGAGGTTGGTATCACGTCTGTACGAGCATAAAGGTGGGTTTGAAAAGATGTTAACTGGGATTGGATTGTTTTGAAGAATTTTATAATGATCAATTAACAAACTTTTGATGTGGCAGGATTGAATGGTGATAGGTTAAAACCAATGGACATCTGTCTGACGTCTTATTCACGCCGTCTTTTCTAGGAGCTATTAACGACGCCCGGATTTAAGGGAAGTATCTTTATTGAGTATAGGCCACGGCGTGTGAAACATTCATCATTATTGGAAGCTTTTGTGTTAAAATCAGTTTTTGAGCTGCATATCTTTTTTAAAACGTAACAATTGAGAATGCGGGAGCTATTGTTAGTGTGGCGAGAGTGAGAATAAGAATACATTAGATAAGAATTGGTGTCAGTGGGTTTAGAAATCACCGAGGTAATTAAGTTTAAACCAGATATAATAACAACCATGTCCAGAAAAGGAAGACTATCAAGGAGATGTAGAGTATGTATAATTTAGACACGGGTGAAAAGATGTGACATGTCGATAAAATTTTGCAAATCAGAAAGTTCATACATTGAATTCATTCTGTATTCTGGCAACGCGCCGATTGTGTGAATCATTCATTTTGGCGCATTGTAATTTGTTTTTGATATTTGATTCTATTCAAATGTCTGCTGACCTGATGAAGAGATGTAATCTCGAAAGCTCGTCAATTAAACTTAAACACCCTTATTCTTATACCTTGACTTTGTTTAATATATATATTATATATTATATATAGCACACCTCATCGCACTTCCTATGCGTTATAGCATGATTATAGTGTTTCTGGCGACCACTAGGTGGTGCTGAGCCTGTCAGGAGACACGCGTACATATTATTATCATATTGTGTCGGTCGGCGTTTTCTAGTCGTAAACAACTCTTCTGATGTTGAAAAGCTAGGTTAAATGTTCGGTTTTCTCCATGCAGTCGTAGATCAGACCATTATCCTCGAAGTGTTGTGGATTGCAGGATTTGCGTAGTGTGCACTAATTCGTTGTTTTGTATGCAATAACGAGCATAATTATGACTTATCGACGTACTGTAATTGTGTGTTAACTTGCATTCATGCTCATTGTTTTTCCTCAGCGGGCCATTTGGAACCGTCTCAATAAAAAAATAAAAAGTAAATAACCACGAAATGTATTTACTACAATGTCTTAATGTTCTCTACTCTATTTCGCCTGTAAATGCCTGTCAAATGCTCATCTGCAACAACACCAAGTACACCGCACGCTAGCTGCTGCACACTGACACATAAATATATTATAGACTATAGACTAGTCTATACTAGACATGGTCTATAGACTATAGTTATATTTATTTTATATTTATTTTATTATATCCCTATAAAAATGGGCTATATATTTATGTGTCAGTGTGCAGCAGCTAGCGTGCGGCGGCCAGCGTGTGACAGAGTGTTGCAGATGAGCATTTGGACGGCATTTACAGGAAATT